AAAGAAACATAAAAACAGAAACACTAAAAAATGAAAAATCAAGAAACGAAACAATACAAACAAAAACAACAACAAATAAACAAAAAAAAATAATAAAACAACAAAAAAAACGGAACAGAAGCAAAAAAATGAGAGGAAAAAAAAACAGAATAGTCACAAAAAAAAAGAATAGGAAAAAGGAAAAGGGAAAACTCACTGTTTTTGGTATCTAGAGGCGGCCAAACTTGATTCGATCCCCGGACACGCGAATCTTTTTTTAAGATTCTTGACCCGTAATATACCTAACCATGTGTCTTCACAAGAAGACACCTGGTTAAGGATATTAGGGTCGAGAATCTCAAAGATTTTGAACTAGGGTTTCGTTGGTTTTAGATTTAAAATTCAAGTATTTTGGTTAAGTTTTGAAGGTTGTTGTTTGGAGATTTGGAATGAGGAGGGTGAGGGGAGTGTATGGTGTTAATTTGGTTGAGTTTGGAGAAGGTAGGGTTTTGGCCGGATTTTAGATTTGAAATCCGAGCATTTTGGTTGTGATTTGAGGGAAATTAGGTTGGGGGTTGGAAAGAGGAGGATGAGAGGATTCCATGGTGTATTTTTTGGGTTATTTGGAGCACCGCCGCCGGCGGAGGCGATTTCTGGCCGGCGGCGGGCGGCGGCGGAAGGCGGGAGGGGGCGGAGATGCGGTGGGGCTGTGGAGGTGGGGATTTCCGGTGGGGAAGGGAGTGGGGTGTGAGAGAGATGAGTGAATGGGGGGTGGGGTATGGTTAGGACATATATATATTAATTGATGGTTGAGTTCCGGATCGTTGGATCAAAATAGATCAAAGGTTGAGATTAACACCAACTAAACTACGTCGTTTTGGGGTTGGGGGTGCTGGACCGGATCAGGGATGTTTGGGCTGGGTCTTGGCCGAATTTTGGGTCCTCTTTTGGGCTAGAATTGTATTTTGGCCCAAATTTTGGGTCCTTTAACAAGACCAACTTTATTAATTCTTTTTCTTTCTTTTTCTCTTTTTGTATTTATATATATTTGTTTATTTATTGCTTATGCTAAAACAAGGACATAATTAGACTATGTATTCCCTAAAATATTCAAAACTCTATTTTTGCAATTTTCTTTTTATTTTAAAACTAAATTAATATCTAATTAATACTAGAATTGTGAAATTAAATGCCTAAATGCAAAAAATGCAACATATTTTGTATTTTTTATGAATTAAAATGCTACACATTTTTTTGTATTTTTATGAATTAAAAATGCAACATATTTTTTAATATTTTTTTTTTATGAATAAAAATGCGCAGACAAAAAATGCAAACAAGACACCAAAATTATGCAATTAATTCCTAGAAATCAAATAATTAAAGGGAAAATCCTAATTTTAATGGATTTGTAGGAGTAAATTAAACATGGCAAAAATCACATGCTCACAGTGGTGTTGGAGTTAGTTTGTCACCTCGACTATTCTATCAGATATTTGTTATCGTTCACGAGTGCAAAGGCGGATCTAGAATTTCTAGAATATGGGTATACCACGAAGAAAGGAGGAGGAAAAAGTGTAAAGTGGAATTAATCGATGTTTCTTTGAGTAAATAATTAAGTATCGAACCAAGTGCACTATTTAACATTTATGCCGCATGGGTACCAATACATAATATTGGATCAGTTCTATGAAATACATACATAAAATACCTAGTTTGACGGAAGGATTATGGGTTCACGTGCCCCATAATTTAGGCTATAGATCTGCCCCTATACGAGTGCAACATAGGTATAAAGTAACCAAAGGCGGATAGAGTTTATTGCTATGAGTTAAGCTGAACCTAGTATTTTCGACATGTAACACACGTGTGTATGTGCATGAAAAAACTATTAAAATTTTATTAAATATTATATGTATGTGCCAAAAGCTACTAAAATTTCATATATTTTGAATCCATAACTTCAAAGTACAATTCGTTTAGTGCAAAGAAATTCAAAGGCTGAATTTAAATTTACTATCAAGTTTAAATTCTAGATCTGTCTTTATGTAAATCGAGACTTAGGTGAAAATAACCACATATTATTTTTTTGCCTCAACTCAAATTTGAATCTTTTTTTTTTTTTTTTGATTTTCACCAACTTTATTGACGGTTAAGCGAAAGTGTTTGTTGCATATTTTGTGTTTATTTTTTTCCATTTATTAATGGGAAGACAACTATGCAAAGTGCATAATACAGATAGCTTAAATGTGGAAGGCATGAAGTAAAGACATTGGGAACAGTGGTCCATACTTGTGAGTTGTCTATGTATCCTAACATATTATGACTCTAACTGGCTCGGCGTTTGGACATAATAATTTTTGAAAAAAAGTAATATTTGAAGTAAAGTTGAAAAATTGTATTTGAAATTTGAAATTATGTTTGGACATACATTTCACTTGAAAAAATATTGCAAAAAAATCTCCAAAAACTTACCAAATTTCATGGACACGCATTTTGGGGGAAAAATCGAAAAAAGAACAGAACTTTTTTATGGACAAATAGAGTAAAAACCAATCAAATATTCATTCTTAATCATTTCGAGTCCCGGGTATGGGTCGTTTTTGTCATGGATCGCTTTATTCCCGATGTGAAACTTTCTGGTGAGAATCCGAATTTAACCGAACCTCGAATGAAAAACCAAAAAAAGAAACAATCAAATATCTTTGTTGATAAAAAATTGATCTTTTGTATATTGTATAAAATTGTTGTTGTTTCTTCCAAGGGTCTTTCCAACCACGTTTTGGGTCAATTGACGTTTCACATAATTCACCCTTAACTAGAAGTCTTGCGTTCCACACCTAAAAATAGAGATATTCCTGATAGGAAATGCGTCTCCCTTTAATAGGTCCTATACAACACGAATCTAATTAATTTAGCAATAGATATTGAGCACCCCCCTCATTTTCCCGTCAAGAATTCAATAGAATATTGGCCTATATTATATTACAAGGTAAATGCAAAAAGTATTCTAGTGCACGAAGTATCTCGCGCAAGGTCCGAGGCAGGGCCGCACCCCAAGGGATGTAATTTAGGCAGCCCATCCTAATGCAAGTATCAGTGGCTGATTCCATGGCTCGAACCCGTGACCTATAGGTCACATAGAGACAACTTTACCGTTGTTACGGAGAAGGGCCGCACCCTAAGAGGTGTGATTTAGGTAGCCTATCCTAATGCAAGCATTAGTGGCTGATTCCACGGCTCGAACCCGTGACCTATAGGTCACACGGAGACAATTTGACCGTTGCATCAAGGCTCCCCTTCAACAAAGGTAAATGCAAAAGAAGCTAAAATCCAATCTGACTTTGATAGTTGAAAAGGAAAATAAGACAATGACTTGGTAACAGCTAAACCTGCAAAAACCAACAGCTAAAACCATTCTTTTGATACTGAAAAATTAATCTCTTCATATTCTTGAGAAGAAGAGCATACTAATATAGTTCATTGCTGATGTCGAATAGTATTTCGACGCGATTCCAAAAAAAAAAAAAAAACACTGTGATGTAAATGAGTGCAACCAAATGGCTTATCTTCTTTAAAAACCAAAAGAATAAGTCATGGTAGTAATCACTTACCACAGCTTTAGAAATTAGTGAAATCTGAATCTATATACATTCATATTCAAGACAAATCCATATACTAAACAACATGCATGTTTTTTTTTTGGTCGCGGAATAAACCACGTGAATGAGCTAAGATACTTCTGATATAAATCAACGATCATATTAGCACGAAACAAGACAAGTGGCGGGTTTTACCAGGCCTGAAATATTAGAAGGCATGGTAACAGGTTGATAGTTAGCAGCGATTTCTAGGCGCTCCCATGTCAACCTTCGTCTCTCCGCTGCTACATTTGACTTTGAATTTTCTTCTTCGAGTTTGCCTTGGCAGTCGAGTACAAGTTCTTCATCCATCTCGGAAAAGACTTTCCTCACATTTTGTGTCAGATTAAGAACTGCTTTATTCCAGTGGTTTTGGCTGTTACGTTCTAAAGCTGAGACAATAATTGGCATGATCACTTGCCTGTTACGCATCACGAGGTTAAGTACGTTATCGTTGTTCCACAAGAAATGTGCTCTTTCGGCCACCTGCAAGTTTATCAAATGCAGCAGAATAAGGTACTTGTTGCAAGGGGTCAATTGTATGTGAATGAGTTAAAGAAAGGCGCATTTGGAAGAAGAACACAGAAACAAGAATTAACGACATACATAATAAATTCCCAACTCTGAACAAGTGGAATAACCCCCCCCCCCCCCCAACTTACTCCCACCAGAGGGGACAAAGAAAAGGCAACAACTACACCTCAATTCTGAACTAGTTGTGGTCGGTTATATGAATCCTCTAGTATCCACTCCCCTCCACTCGGATCATTTTTATTTTAGTATTTAAGAAAAAAGATATATGCATCATTTATGTAGGAAACAAAGTAATTAGCTTCATATAGGAACTTCCGAGTCTCAGATATTTGGCAAAGCACAAAATTTTTTATACCCGAGAAATCGACAGAAGTCCATGGTTCATGATTTAAAACTCAAAGAATAATGGACCCGCCCCTCTAACATTCTCCCACTTAAACATCATGCTTTTCGTCTGTGATAGGATTCGAACTCGTGACATGCGCCTAACTCACACGTTGCAAAAATAAAGATATTAGGCTAAACAAAATGCAGAGAAGGCACTTTCAAGGGCTGGAATATCTCCCTAAATTGGATACATATTTGGAGATATCGCCCCTCGAAGGGATGGAAATGCAGCATGTCACAATCAAGAGATAGAGCTGACTCTGCACAACTAACAGTACCAAGCACCGTGAGTCAGATGATTAAGACTATCCAATCAATATGGTTTACGACGCTAGGTACAGTGTGAAAAGCTTCTTCTATAAAGCTCCGTTTCAAAAAGGGTTGTTAACTATAAATCTTCGAGAATTCTACTGATAAAAGAAACTATAAACGCTCAAGAACTTATCACAGAATATTCACAAATTGATAAAAGTTTTTCAAAGAAACGGTGCAACAAATGACAGGTAAGATCCCAAAATCCAACTTCCAGGGTTCGTTTCTTTTCTTTTCTTTATTTCTTTTTTGGATAACGACATCTTCAAAAATGTCCAAATTAAATTCAAAACTACTTTTCTAGCTACTAAATACATAAAAGGACCAAACTTTTCATGCCTGGCGACATCCTAAGCTTAACAATCCACACTTTAAAGTTGTTGATACAATGTTTGAAGCCGAAGCTAACCTTAAGCTAGAGATTTGGAATTAACAACTTCTCTACCATGCACATGAAATTATTACTTCTGATTCTTTCTAATGAGACATCTCACACTCCAATTCAGTTACGTATCATAATCAGCGTTATAGAAGCAAATCTTCGAGGTCACCTGCCTCCTTTATTTGCTTTTTTTTTTTTCCTGTTATTTTTTTTTTTTAGGGGGGGGGGGGGGGGGGGTTTCGGAGCATGTAATTCTGGACAAGCAAAAGTTCTCTTATCACAAAAGATATTCAGGAGGAGAACTGTCTTTCTATCAATAAGGATACCAATCCAAATATGAAAACTAGTTTATACGAGATAGAAGCCGATTGTTTATGATGAAGCACGAGTTCATTCTTTCTAGTAAATATGATGAAGCATGTGCGCAGTCTTGACTCCTACACGAGCCTACTTCCCCACCCCACCCCCCACCTGTCCCTCAGCCAGCCAAACATAGTGTACAGAGAAAAGAAAAAGACTAGTAGGCCAAGAGCAAGCACTTTGATTGAGATACATTACCTGGAAATGGGAGCTGTTAAGGCAATAACCTATACGACGAAACAAGGGCACCATGATCTTTTCAAATTCTGCAACACTGATCATTTCCAAAAGCTCTTCCAACTCACTGATGAACATCAACTGTTTCTGGCTACTTGTCACCGGCCAATACCTCAACAATCTCGTTATCGCTACGCTAGCAAGATTTTGTTCCTTTTCTATGAACTGTACGACACAATATGCTAACTGTTGATGATAGACACCCAAAGATTTCGGCTTGTGCAGAGGTATCAACGCCCTGGAGAAAAACAATCTGTGCTCTTCCTTTAATGGTAAAGCAAATCCACTAATTACACTTCCAAAAACCTCTAGAAGCTCGGCAATCCCATTATGCCTTTCGGTCTCGAAAGCAAAACGATAAAAAATATTGCTTACAGCCTTTCTGATATAAGGCCTGTGCATCATAAACTTCCCGTAAAGACGATGCAATATCGACTTCAAGCATTCTCTTTCTCTTGGGTCCTCAGAATCAAATAGGTTAAGCAATTTCAATATGAAAGAATGGTCTACGTGTTTCTTAGCAACTTTTGCGTCAAGAGAGCTTTGACTAATGATGCTAAGGAATAAGTCATACACAAGTTGTAAATGACACCAAGCTGGATCAAACATCGGTTCTTCATCTTCACTTTCACCGCGAGCTGAGAGATATGACTTAGGAGGAAACGTTCTGAACAGGTTAACTGCACACATTTTACAGACCGCAGCAATTGCTGATTCCGTGAATCTTGCGGATCCAGAAGCAACAAAATCATTCAGCTCAAGCAAAACTTGTCGTTTCAAGTCCTTCTCCGCAGAATCTTTATCTGGATCATTGAAATCGTAAATTGAACAGCAGAGATTCAACTTGCTAATGAATAAGCTTTGCTTCTCCGCGTTTGAAACGTCTTTAAAAGGAACATGCGGTGGCACAGAGTCACCACCAGCCACAATACTCGTAGGAAAAATCGCTGTCGACATCCGTTTCACTACATTCAGCCTTGTTGCTATCACAGTGCAACTATTGGTAAACGGAATTCCATTTCCTGAATTCGTGGTGTTGTTGCAGGAATTGCTTCCCGATGTATCAAACGAATCACATTTCGATGATTTCCTAGGAAGTTTTGCAAGGATTTGTTTAAGCATAGTAGCGTTGCTCAAACGTGCAGCAAGACTAAACCTAAGCCACACTCCAAAACAATCCGCCTATGCAAATTCCAAAAAAAAAAAAGGAAAAAGCATAAGAAAACAAAGCAGGAGCCTACAACCTTGAAAGAAATAACAGATCTTGTGGCAAAACATAAGCAGAATATTCAGCAGACAGCATTATTATAATCAGAATTACATCTTAAATATTCACAAAAGCAATTGTCTCATCTAAAATCCATAGTAACAAAAGTTCATTTCCAAATCCACCTATATATAGCTACAACAACAACAACAATAAACCCGGTGTAATATCATAAGTGGGGTCTGGGGAGAGTAATGTGTACGCAGACCTTACCCCTACCTTATAAAGATAGAAAGGTTGTTTCCGATAGACTCTCGGCTCAAGGAACAATGAATAACTAAAAACTAAAAACAGTTGCAGAAATCACAGATCTGGGACAGAATTCTCACAGAGGCCAACACAACACAAAATAAAAACACTGAGGAAATTTAAATCCTAAATCACTACATTCACAGGCCAAAAAATAAGAATATAAAATAATTATAAAAAAAAAAAAGATTCAATCTTTGTTGACAATTGTTGTGAATGAATAATCAGTTACAACAAATTTGAATCACTAAAGATGAAATCTTTAACAATTCCAACTTTCATAGAACCCAAAAAATTCACTGTTACTTGAGCCGAGGGTCTACCGGAAACAGGTTTTCTATCTTCATAAGGTAAAGACAGGGGTAAGGTCTATGTACGCACTATACTCCCGGACTCCACTTAAGGGATTACGTTGGGTTTGTTGTTGTTGTAAAGAACCCAAAAAAGCATCAAACTTGAGCTATATCACAGCATTTCTCAAAAGATCTGATAAGGACAAAATCTGAATTAACTAAAGTTGAAATCTTTAACAACACCAACTTTCAAGAATCCAAAAAAGATCAAAACTTGAGCTATATCACAACATTTCTCAACAAGATCTGAATTAACTAAAGATGAAATCATTAACAACTCCAACATTCCAAAACCCAATAAAGATCAAAACTTGAGCATTAACATAACATTTTCTCAAAAGATCTGAGATATTGAGTAAGAAAAAAACCTGGGATTTTGTTGGTCTGGTCTGAAATTAAAGATTCTTCAGAGAAATTACAGAAAGATTGAAGCTTTTTGATATTTTGATATACTCACAAATAAGAGAAAAACAAACAGAAACAGGTAATGGTGGCAATCACATCATGTCTTTAACTTTTTAAACTTGGGATTGAAGACATAATGATGGGTTTTTGAGGAGCCCATTTTTTTTTTCTTGAAAGAAAACATAAAATGTATTTTCAGTTCTTGATTATTTCCACTGTTCATGTCCTAACTAGTACTACAATGGCTTCTTACAATTAGTGAGTGAAGCATTATTTTTTTTCTTGAAAAAAGTGCCACAACTCTCTCAGTGGCATCTTCACAGAAATTGCCGGCATTAGATGGTGACTGTTATGTACTATACTAACATTATTATTATTATTATTATTATTTTCTTTAGTAGTACTAACATTATTTATTTACCAAAAACACTGTTTGATTTCACCAACTGTAACATATTTCTACTTGTACCATTTACTAACTATTTTGGTATTTGCACAAGTTTCGACGTAACTCATAAAGTTGTTGTCATGCGATCAAGAGGTCATGGATTCAAACCGTGAAAATAGTCTTTTGCAGAAGTCTTGGCGTAACTGGTAAAGTTGTTGTCATACGTCGAGAGGTCATAGGTTCGAACCGTGAAAATAGTCTTTTGCAGAAGTCTTGGCGTAACTGATCAAGTTGTTGTCATGCGACCGGTAGGTCACGGGTTCGAACCGGGAAAACAGTCTCTTATAGAAATATAGGGTAGGAATTCGTACAATAAACCCTTGTGGTCCGACCCTTCCCCTAAGTACATAGTGGGAACTTAGTGCAACCGAACTGTCCCTTTTCGTACTTCTGGTTGCTGCTATGTGACCGGGAGGTCCGAACGTAAAAACAATCTCTTGCAGAAATAGAGGTTAAGGATGTGTATAATAAATCTCTGTGATCCGGTTTTTTCTGAACTTCGCAAATAATGAAAATTTAGTGCATCAGGTTGCCCTTTTGGTACTTCCTTTGTTCTATTATTATATACATGATAATATTTTACTATTATGATTTGTTCAAAAATAATGACATGTTTTATATTTTAAAACTAATTTAGTTTTAAATTTTTTATTTTGGAAATGAGGTGGATTTAACTTATTTTAACATATAAGCAATAATTGTAGGTGTAGCTTCAGCTCGTGATATAAGTTCACAAGATTCCTACCTTTTTCTTCTCTTTTTTGTTCGACCGCAACAGCTGAGAATTAAGAATTATTTAACTTTCTTATCTTTGTTATATGAACATAAGTTATTCACAATCTTTATTTTAACTTTATTGATTACTACGTCACATTCTTACGCAGTTACAGTTTGTTTGGATAGTTGTTATGTATCGTTCATAAGGTATCGTATAGTATTATATTGTATATTGTAACGTTTTGATATATACAATATTTGGATGGATTATATTGTTTTCCGTATTTCATGATGTCATGCACCAATAATATGAAGAAAAAACTTGCAATATTATAAAGAAAAAGTAAGGTACGAGGTAGAATTATTATATTAAAAGGTAGGGTAACGAATAAATATGATTATTTAATAATATGGAAGGGCAAGATGAGAAAAAAAATAACGGAACAAAGCGACCATACTAAATTGATCTTTCCATAAAGTGGCATTTTTTATCTTTAAGTAACGACGGATTTAACGATACGATACAATAAAATTTAAATAACAATCAAAACAATATTGTATTTAAAGTAAAAATACGATAAGCACACCATGTAACAACCATCCAAACAAGTTAATTGTCATAATTAGACAAAATAAATATTGTTAAACATAGTGACTTTAGCTCAAATAATATAGTATAGTGCTTCTATTCAAATTAAAATATCAGTAGAAAAACATATTTCATTCTTCATTTGAGAAAGAATAAAATTTACCTTGTTCTCTATAAGAAATAATCTGACCCCATTGGTGTCACCTACCTGGTCTCTCTTTTTTGAATTTATCCTCTAGTTGCTGTCCTTTATATATATAAGCGTGAGCTTTTTCTATTTGTCTAAATCGTGGTGAGTAGAATTATTCGATATATGTAATTATAAGATAGCATGTATTTAGAAAATAGTCAAAGGAACATACAAAATTAAGCAATTTTTCCCGTTGATAAATTTTTGGTCTAATATTAGCAATTAGTTAGGGAAAACGTCTTATTTTTGCCCTTCACTTCTAACGGAGCTCCAACGTAATGGTAATTTTATGATATAGTCAAGGTTGAGGGTACTTTTAGATATATTTTGCTCCAAGGATTTGAACACATGGAATTTATTCATATCATGCCGGAGCTCCAATAATAATAAAGATAAATAAAAGAAGTAAAAATTGAGTAATTTTGAATAACATAGCAACAATATTGGACCTTTTCCCAAAAAAAAAAAAATAATATAAGCATGGACAGAAGAAATGAAGGTTATGTCACATCCAGATACACTTTTTACTTTACTAAAGTTCCAAATTAGTCTCAATTCACTCAACTCAAATTATGTGTAGCAGCTAGTGGATTACATGTTGCACTAATTACATACCATAATTTTGCTTAATTTTTGGGTCTCATGAATCATTGTATCTTTTTCTCCTTCTTCTTTTTCATTAAACATGGGAGAAATTCAAAAATAGTCATATTTACAAGTGATAATTGGAAAATAGGCACAATTTTAAAAGTAATAGAAATTTAGCCACTTTTCATGTAAAAGATAAATTTAAAAAAAAACACTGTTCAAAATCCAAAAAATATTCCAGCATAAGATGTTGGAGTTCGAATTTTTTAAATGTGAACCTTCAAGCATAACATGCTAGAATTTCATAATATGCTGGAGTTCCAACATAATATGCTGGAAGTCCATACACAAGTGCTCCAATCTCCAGTATATTATGCTGGAACTTTTCGTGTGCTGGAGTTCCAACATAATATGTTGTAAGTTCATACATAGGTGCTCCAATCTCCAGTATATTATGCTGAAACTTTTCGTATGCTGGACTTCTAACATAACATGCTAGAAGTCCATACACAGGTGCTCCAATCTCCATATATTATGCTAGAACTTTTCGCATGTTGGAGTTTCAATATAATATGCTGGAAGTCCATACACAGGTGCTCCAATCTCCAGTATATTATGCTGGTACTTTCCATGTGCTGGAGTTCCAACATAATATGCTGGAAGTTCATACACAGGTGCTCCAGTCTCCAGCATATTATATGCTGGAACTTTCCGTGTGTTGGAGTTCCAACATAATATGCTGGAAGTTCATATACAGGTGTTCCAATCTCCAGTATATTATGCTGGAACTTTCCGTGCGCTGGAGTTCCAACATAATATGCTGGAAGTTCATACACAAGTACTCCAATCTCTAGTATATTATGCTAAAACTTTCGTGTTGCAGCAAAATAATGGCTATTTTTCAACGACTTTGCAAATGTTGTCTATTTTTTAATTATCAGTCTGAAAACTGGCTAGCCCACGCTATTTTGACACTAAACATGTGTCTTGTAAGTTGCTCAGTATCTATTGGGATTTGACTAAATTCAAGTTCACGCAGGAAAATTTCATATTGGCAGGTACAACATTCCTTAATAAGGGCGATTCTATACACAAAACTGGTACTTAATATCTCTTGTTAAGGATAAAAGTGTACTTACCGCTCTAACATGGTCCTTATTGGTTGTTAATTGCTTTTTGTTGGTGCAAATTCGAATGTTTGTGCTTTTAATTTGCTTTTTGTTAGCGGTGATAAATCATCATTTTATTTCTTTAACTGTCGAATTTTTTTTTTCTTTAATTTAGTGTAGAGGAAGAGTATCAATTAATAGGTTAGCACATTTTAACTCTAATTAATTCCCCACATTGCTTGGTTTTTTATAATAATAGTCCTCGTTGCTTGGTTATTTTAATTTGAATGTAACATATTAACTACAGAATCTTGATTTCATGCTTTCCTTAAACGCGAAAATTGGATTCTACTTAATACTAAAAATATAGAATATTATCTAAATTTAATGATCCAACAAAAGCTTGTAATTTCAGTAAAGACAATAATGATCAAGATACTAGCATCAAATGGTGTGGCTTAACGGTGAATAATATGAGTGAAAAATAATTTCTTTACATCTCTCTAATTTTTGGTAAACAAAATTATCCGATATTTATACTGGTAAAAAATAACAAATACCCAATAAAATAATACGTGCAAGCTGGTCCGAACCTCCGTTATTTTTTAAAAGACCAAGATAACAATGGGAATAGACAGACATTAATGTAGAGATTTAGTTTTTTGAAAAAACAAAAGAAAACATATGATTGGCACCAAATAAGAAATCCAAGAATTCTTATATAACAATAAATTTTGTATGGGGCAGATGAACTAAACTCGATTAAAACTACAAGCAAACTGACACTAGTAATATCTTAAAAGTGTCTAATTAATTAATAAATTCCATGATTGACCTAATCTTAATTGCTACTAGTAATTAATCTTATTATTTTTAATATTCTCACCCACTCTGGCTCGGTTTGCATGTGACAAATGTACAAAAAAGAGCAAAAAGCATGTGAGAAGAGGTTATTGGATATTGTATTATTTTCATGACAATTAAGACAAAGTAAATGAATTGTTCCCTACTCATGTGAAGTCTCATGGTTGACACATTATTTTGTTCATATTCTCTATTTGTTTATTATATTAGTATCACCAGATAGGATTATTGAACATGGCCTTTGGCTTTTTTAAGTTTTCTTTTTTTCTTTTCACTGGTGTCCGGTATCTGCATCGAGCCCCATTAATTCAGATTCGCATCGCATAAGTTCCATTAAAAGGAAAAGCGTTCCCTACAAAAAAAAATCCATTTTAAGGCTCGAACCCGAAAATTTTAATTAATAGGTGAAAGGATCCTATCCATCACATCGTCATCTGACGTAATAAATTTTCTCCACCAGTTATTAATTTTCACTCCTTTGTTTTCTGACAAAATCAATCTAACCACAACTATTTGAATATAGTTATTATGTTATAAGAGGCACTTGAGCAGGCTTGATCCTTCACTATTTACCTTTAGCAATTGGTTTCAATTTTTACATTGCCAGCATTGAGATATTCTTTTCCTTAAGAGTTAGTAACTTAGTAATAAAAAATTATGAAAAATTTCTAATATTCAATCTGAGTCTGGACAGTATTTGGTTGAACTTGACAAAGAAAGTAACTGAAATTAAAATTGGAAAAGAGTATTTAAAAGTTTGTGCTTGAACATAAATTTTAATCGAAAAAACAGTTAGAAGTCTTGTGAATAAAAACTAT